CTTCTTCTTCTTGCTTTACGGTGGATCGCAGACTTGTAAGTGCATTACCGCCACCTATCTCTGACACTCCTAATTGAGATTGTAGATAAGAGTGTCAATGGTCCATTTGAGAGATAGGTGGCGGTAATGCACTTACAAGTCTGCGATCCACCGTAAAGCAAGAAGAAGAAGGCGCATCATGCGCAGGCTGTCGAGGACGCGCTCAGGACAGTTCAGACATTGCAGTGCATCAGAGGTAAAAAACTATATAAATACTGTTCAGTTTCTTGCACAGACCGATAATTTCGTGTCTTTACACATCAATGTATCATCACGAGCCGCAGGGTTTAATTTGGTTTTGTTTGTGTATGTTTTTTTTTACTCTCAAGGCTGTGATTCCCATTCACTTCCATTATAAGACTGACAGACTGCAACGGTTTGAGTTAAAATCTTCGTTTGTGTTCTACTGAGGAAACAAAGTCACCTACATCTTGGATGCCCTGGGGGTAAGCAGATAACATCAAATTTTCATTTTTGGGTGAACTATCCCTTTAAGGGGCTTCTTAATTCTCTATTCCGAAAGCATGCCATTACATGAATGTCACATATAAACAGTGCCACCAAATGCATTCTGTTGTAACAGCGAGATCTAGGAAGGATTTAGTGTGAAAGTATATTTCATTGGTTCCTACAGCAGGTCAAGAGATTAATGTACTTCACATTGTGTTTTGTCTATTTGAGTTGTTGGTGCACAAGTACTCACAACAAGTTAATTGATTACTTATGCTTATTTTATACTGTCTTTTTAAGGTGCTGCAAACCCTTATACTGAAGCTAACTACAAGCCAGCCTTTTTATCAGAAGATGAGCTGAAGCACTTAATATTAAGGGTAGGTGACCTAAAGAAATGAATCCTTTTGTGTTATGCTGAGTGACAAACCCTGGCTGTGACTCACTGGTGATTCATTTTGCATCTCAGGCTGCTGACGGTTTTCTGTTCGTTGTGGGCTGTGATCGGGGAAAGATCCTTTTTGTGTCAGAGTCTGTCTACAAAATTTTAAATTACAGTCAGGTAAGGCCTTCTAATGCTACTATGATTCACCACTCAGCTTATACGAATCATCAGACTGTGAAGTGACTCACTATACTGCCTGCTCTCTTTGTCTCACAGAATGACCTGATTGGCCAGAGTTTGTTCGATTATTTGCATCCTAAAGACATTGCAAAAGTCAAAGAGCAGCTCTCATCTTCTGACACAGCCGCACGCGAAAGACTCATCGATGCTAAAAGTAAGTTGGCACCTGCTCATAAATACACCATTATGCAGACAAACTTTAAAGGCAGGAATACGCTGCATGACTTTTATATTTTTCCATTTTAAAAGACTAGCATCATACTTTTTTTTTTTTATTTGCATTATACATATTGCTGACTTTGTAAATGCTTACAAAGAAAAAACTGGGCATCATGCACTAAACGACCTGTACCAAAAAGTAATATACTTCAAGTTTATTTTATTAAGTATACTTAAGTAAATTTCAAGTATATTTGTAAGTATACTTTATGTAGTAAGTATACAAATATCAGTGTACTAGTAGTATTCTTGTAAGTGTACTATTTCAGTACTCATTGGGACTAAATTGGCCCACTTTCTAGTATATAAAAGTATACTTTTAAGTATAACAGTAGTAAACTTTGAGTACACAACTAGTTTACATCAATATTTTAGCTTGTACTGTAACTATACTAAAAGTGAACTTGTAGTTAGTTTACCAATTAAATTATTGTAGTAGCATTTTTAGTACACGTTGAAGTATAGTCTTAGTAAACTAGTTTAGTAGTTTTATACTGCAACTTAAGTATACTCGTACGTTTTCTTTAAGTATACTACTATGTCCCTATTTAGGTATTTATATATTTTGTAATATGAATATCTGAACATACAAAGCATCAAAAGCAAGAACAGGGTATCTGATTGTAAACAAAAACATTTTATTCTAGCTTCATACATTCTATTTTTAATAAACACTTGAATGTGGGTAAGTTTCATAAATAAAGAAATAAACAACATTTTGAACAAAAAGCTGAAAAAAGATTAATTGAATTCAGAATGATAATCAAAACGTAGATGGAGTCGATCAACACCTCAAAGCTTGACAGTCATTATTACCTCTTCATTGGTCGACATTTTATTCCATAACGTTACAGTTATGATGCTGTTTTATGTCTGATGATCGTGTAAGATTACATGTGGAAGCATCTGTTGTTTCGGGTTCTTCGTTACTTGTGTTTTTTTGGATATTCTGTACAGAAGATGTGTAATAGCGCCCCCTACAGTATAACAATGAAAACACGGATTCTAGGAGCACAAGTATACAGTAGCTCAAACATATTTAGACTTTTTCTAAGCATAAGTCAAGTATACTTAAATGTAATTTTAAGTATTTTTCTGAGAAGTACGTAAAGCCCATTTCTGAGAAGTACATAAAAAGTAGATTAAAAGTATACGTTCCTATTTTTGGTTTAAAAGAAGTATACTAATAAGCACACTTGAATAAACTTCTTTTTCGTAACGGGACTCACACTACCAGATTTGCAAGTCGTTCCAAACATAACAAACTCACACAGAAACATGTAACTTGTTCCTTAGAGAAACATGACAAATGAAAACAATTTGCGTTTTAAAATCAGCTCAAATTATCAAATATGTCTGATATCCTCTGACTGGATGGAATCATAGTTTAAAAAAAAATCTGTGCTCAGTCTGTGCCCATCATACACTACGTGATTTTATGTGAAATCACTCTATCTAAAATCTGCAGACTGGCTCTGACTCGTCCAGACTGCAAAATGGGGCAAAAATCATGGCCTTTATTAACTTCAATTTCATTAGTTTTACTAGTTTTTGAACTTATCTGACAATGAATTGTTATTTTCTCAGCTGGGCTGCCGGTCAGGACAGACATTGCCCCTAGTCCCTCCAGACTGTGCTCGGGGTCCCGACGCTCCTTCTTCTGCAGAATGAAGTGCAACAGGCCCCTTGTCAAAATGGAAGACAAAGATTTTCCCTCAACTTGCTCCAAAAAGAAAGGTAAATCAGTTCTTTCATTTACTTTGCATATTGTTCAATATTCAAAGACAATGTTTCAACGTCATAACTATTGCTTTCTTCTCCCTGCAGCCGATCGCAAGAGCTTCTGCACCATCCACAGCACTGGCTATCTGAAGAGCTGGCCGCCCACAAAGATAGGCTTAGATGAAGACAATGAGCCTGATGAAGGCTGTAATCTCAGCTGCTTAGTGGCCATTGGCCGATTACATCCTCATATTGTCCCACAACCCATGAATGGAGACATCCGGGTGAAGCCCACAGAGTATGTCTCACGCCATACCATTGATGGGAAGTTTGTCTTTGTGGACCAAAGGCAAGTGGTGACCATTGGGTGCCTTGAAATGCAGTTTCAGTTTGAAGGTGCGGTCACATTTGCTTTTCAATGGGAATCAACACAAAAACTCACAGCGCCAACCAATAGCAAGACTCTTGGTTCAGAAGTGACCTCTGTGTGGGTGGAGTTTGGTAATTTAACAAGCAAAACTAAAGATCCACAGTGGATGAGGCACTCATTCTGGGAGTGTTATGTTCCATTAAGAGGCTGTTTGGAAAGCAGCTATTTATGGTTGGTTCGTTTGTTAGCTGGCAAGAATAGCTTTGGATTTTCTGTTTTCCTTCACATAGCAACGGTAAATGTGAGCACGCCTTAACTTGCTTCAATAATCTGAAACAATGCCAGTGCACTACAATATGTGACATGCTTGTATAATATGGTATAATTTTCCAGACTCAAAATTATATTAGTATAAGATTTAAGCAAACTGTTATGTGGTTGGTAGATGTTTGTTTTGTCTACTGATGGATAAACTGACTTGGATTATACGTTTGGTGTCCATGCTGACCTTATGACCAATCTTTATGTTAGCGTGACAGCTTATTTGGTTTTGCGAGCACAGTCCAGGTCAATATACAAATATAGCCATGGTGCAGATGGACACAAGGTCACGGCCTGGCTAGAGGCGGACATATAGGGCACACAGTGCACCTAAAAATACAATGACAAAAACACTACTTGGCTTTTATATGTCAGCTGTACCTGTGGAGTCTTAATGTTTGTGTATGTGGTCTTACTGTTAAACATACTGTTTTTGCTTATCCAGAAAGAAAAAAAAAAGTAGAATGGGGAATTTCTATCCATTGTTTGAGAAACATTGCACTCAAAATTAGAGGCAGATCTAAATATGAGCTTGCAGTCGATTGTAAGAAAGAGAGCAGTAGAAAGAAAAGTAGAAAATTTTATTTGAAGCACAATTATTTGAAAATTAGGTGTTCTAATTTGCTTGCCGTGACTCTCTGGTGCATCAAAAGCATATACTATTGATTAACAACATCAGAGATCACAACAGGTCTGTCTTTAAAAGTTTGAGTTATCATTAAAAATCTATTTCCCTTTGGAGAAAATAATTGGAGTTTTCAATTCTGGAACCCAACTCTTCAACTCTATATGTCACCCGAGAGAAGTCTGCTGTTTCTGTCGTTCTGCCATCATTCGTTTCACTGGAAGATCAGGTTACAATATTTAGATAAAATGGAAAAAAAAAGAACAAATGCAGTGTTAGATCTCGCTAACTCTCACTGAAAATTAACGACTTTCGGTCATTTTGATGCTGTCATTATGTACACCCTACAAAATGTATGCTTTATATTAAGCATTAGAGAGAAAAAAATGGATGTTTACACAATATTACTACCTGCTTGCAAGCACTGTAAAAACATTTGTATTCTTCTGTATTTGACAGATGCCTCTGTTTCATTTTAGGGCCACAGCCATTCTAGCTTATCTACCTCAAGAGCTGCTGGGCACGTCGTTCTATGAGTATTTCCATCAGGATGACATCGGACATCTTGCTGAATGCCATAGACAGGGTAACAGTAGAGCGATGCTCTCCATAAAGTGTAGCACGGCCAGATTTCTGGTTCTGACCTCACTATCTGTATGTCTCTGTTTGCAGTGCTGCAGATGAGAGAGAAGATCAACACCAACTGTTACAAGTTCAAGATTAAAGATGGCTCTTTTATAACTTTAAGAAGTCGCTGGTTCAGTTTCATGAACCCTTGGACCAAAGAAGTAGAGTATATTGTCTCGACTAATACAGTCGTCTCGTGAGTGAACAAAATCTATAATGATATAATAAGTTGCCATATGTTCTGATGGTTTAGCTCAGTGTTTCCCAACCGGGGTGCCGTCTGTCGAGAGCAGGGGTTTTTGTAGGGTGCCACAAGTTTGTTAAAATTTCCAAAGGGTGCCGTGACTAAAAAAAGGTTGGGAAACACTGGTTTAGTTTACTAACTTGTATGGCTGTGTTTTCAGAGGCAGTTCTCTTGATGGAGCAGAGCCTGGTTATCCTCAGCTCACTGCCTCCCCCCAGAGTATGGACAGCGTCCTTACAGCTGGTGACAGTAGGCAGATTTCATTTACTTTCCACATCCTAACACAACAAATAAACAAGTGACTGTTAAAGCATGTACTAACCAGACACAAAAAGTTACCTGCGACAAGTCATTTTTCAGTTCAACATCACAGCCAATCAGAACATACGGTATGTTTAATTATAGGATCTTGAACCAATAGGATTTGGCTGTTTGTGGTCACCCAGATAATACAGGACCAACAAAAATAATTAAATTTCTCCCCTAAAACCTTTTTTTTTTGCATAATTAAAATGGTATTAAGCATAAAGAAATTGTCTATTTTAAAGGGGTGACATTATTTTTATGACATTTAAAGCAAAATGTTTCCTCTAAATTCTCTATATAGCTAATTCATAATACTGTAAAAAAGTAATAATAATCAAATAAAAATAAGAATACAGTATACAATGATGAAATGAATTTTTTCAGCTTACATTTGAATCTTTGATTTTCTCATTCAACAAATACTACCTTTCTGTATATGTACATGAAGTGAGGGGAAATTGTGAGAACTGCATATGGAAATTGTGAGGAAATTAAGCACAGAATTAAATCATAATCATAAGTGTCTTTACTGTCACTTTTAAATAATGTAATGTGTGTCATTGCTGAATAAAAGTATTCAATTCTTTCTTACCCCAAACTTTTTAATGGCAGTGTATCATAGTTTCTACAACATTAAGCAAGAAAAAAAAAAGTTTTCAACATTGATAATAATAAGAAATGTTTCTTGAGCAGCGAATCAGCATATTAGAATGATTTCTGAAGAATCATGTGACACTGAAGACTGGAGTAGAGATGCTGAAAATTCAGCTTTGCATCACAGGAATAAATTACATTTTAAAATATATTTTAAAATAAAGTTATTTTAAATTGCAATAATGATTGACAATATTACTGTTTTTACTGTAAATGCGGCCTTTGTGAGTATTAGAGACCTTTTAAAGACTTTTAATTTTTTTGACTGCTATATATATGTGATCCTGGACCACAAAACCAGTCATAAAGGTACATTTTTTTATTGCTACAAATATACCCCAGCGACTTAAGACTGGTTTTGTGCTCCAGGGTCACATATTATTAATATGACAGAAAGAGTTTGATGCTACCATAGTTTGCTATGGGAGAATACTACTTATATATATATATATATATATACTGTATATACTGTAGGTTGTATAGCACTTCAACATTCATGTATATTAATGTACATAGAGTCCATTGATCATCTTTTGGAGTTTGTGATGAACCTTTAACAATATCTCTGTGGCCTTCTCAATTGTTCTGCTGCAGGCTCAGGGAAGACTGTCCCTGGAATCCCTGGAGGCACAAGACCCGGAGCAGGAAAGATCGGCCGCATGATCGCTGAGGAAGTGATGGAGATACAAAGGTATGCTGATCGGACGTAGGATAATCTGCATTTGAGTCATGATCTTGATGACATTGCAGCTGGTTTTACCTTTCATTGATATGACTGACAGGATAAGAGGCTCATCGCCCTCTAGTTGTGGCTCAAGTCCCCTCAACATCACCAACAGCACACCCCCTCCTGACACATCCTCGCCGGAGGGCAGGAAGGTAACTTTTGTGCTTCAGTTACAGGGACACTAGGATTCTGTCATTCCTATGATGTAGGAATCACGGAATCAGTCATAAAAATAGAGTTTACAGTATAACGAGGAATGTCATGGAATTAGGCAATAAATCAAAAGGGCTGTACACTTAATCAAATCATGATATGGTCTAGTGTCTGTGAATATAAAATCACAAAAAGACTGCTATTGAAATATGAAGTCAGCATCTTCTGCTCTTCTGAGAGGCACAGTTTTGTCTACTGCTCTCCACATACTAAAACACACGTGACGCTTGCGATGTTTTCAGCGTCTGCTGCAATATGAGGACATGAACATATCACTTCACCAGCATTTCACCATTTCGTTTGAAATCTCTCTGATGGCTTCAAGACAACCCGTCAAAGTTTGGATTAACTTAAAGAGAATGTGACAGAAATAAAATGTTATTGTACAGCAGAATATACTTCTCAAAGAAGTAATAATAATAATAATAGTAATAGCAAAATAAAAGCTTATTTTTTAAGGAATGTTTCTTACATGTTTTAATTTTAACAGTGAGCCTGTTGTTGTGCAGCAATAGTTAAATAAATAAATAGGGCCCTAAAAATATTGTTTTAGTTAAAAAGAAAATGTTGTTAAATTGTATGTTTCATGACTTAAATTAATTAGACATGCTTTTTTGATTACTAAAATTTTATTAGACATGCTTTTTAATTATTAAAATTTAAACAGATGGAACCCAGAATCATTTGAAAAAACAAAAACATTTGGGAAACAAAAACAGATTTCATAGGGCCCTTAAACTGTATTGTTAAACTAAAAAAAAATATATAAATTTGTTCAATTGTATAAATGTCATGATATCAATTAATTAGACATGCTTATTGATTACTAATTTTGTTTAGACATGCTTTTACTAAATTATATTTAAGCATTAAAATGGAATTTAATAAAAAAAAAATTCAAATGGAAACAAATTAATTTTGGAAGAAATACTACAGATTTCATTGGGCCCTAAAAAAAGAATCTCTTATTTATTCACCCTCATGCCATCCCAGATGTATATCTCAGATGTATTTTTTTCTTCAGATAAATACAAATTAGATATTTAGGAGAAACTGATTCATCCACACAAGGGGTTACCTTCATGTTCACTTGGCTGTTTTTTAAACCTTCGGATTAATATAAAAAATCTTTGTTCATCCTAAGAAAAAAAGTCATATACATTTGGTACGGAAAGTATTCAGAATGTCAACGATTCTGTGTTTTTCTGTCAATATGGGGTGTTGTGTGTACATTAATGAGGAAAAAAAATTAACAAATGATTTTAGCAAATGGCTGCAATATAACAAAGAGTGAAAAATTTAAGGGGGTCTGAATACTTTCTGTACCCACTGTATATCTGGTTAACATGAGGGTGAGTAAATGATGTGAGACTTCATTTTTGGGTGGAGTATGCCTTAAGGTGCAGTCTCTGACAAACATATTTAGATGTTTACATATTTAATGTTACATTAATGTGTTAATACTAATTGTAATAGCATCTGATTTTATTTTTTCTAACTGCTTAGATTTCAAATGGTGGAACTCCAGACATTCCTTCAGCAGGGATGGTGTCGGGCCAGGACAGCATAGGATATCCTTACTCTAACAGCTCGATTTTAAGTAAGTTGTAAAGGTGATCTGTTCAGTGATTTGTCAGTGTTGCTTTTGAAACGGTTCACAATACTGTCTCTGATCTGCAGGTGATAATTCACACATCGGTTTCGGTGACATCATGGATGAGCCGGGCTCCAGCAGTGATGAGGCTGCCATGGCGATCATCATGAGCCTGCTGGAGGCGGACGCAGGTCTGGGAGGTCCCGTGGACTTCAGTGACCTGCCCTGGCCACTGTGAGAGTCCTGAAGGAGACCGTCACCCATCATGTGTACAATCCATCTCAACCGCGTTCAAACCAGCTATGACCCTGACAATCTTTTTGGTGACATCGCATTTGTTTTTGTCACGGTGCCTCAGGTAGCTCCACCCACAGCAAAATTGTATTGGTCCACAACCTCATTCCACAGCTGTATGTTCAAATGTGCCAAAAGTAGACTGTAAAAAAAGATGGACAACACATCTCCACTTTCTTCTACTATAGAAAAGTGACGGCAAAAAATCCCATTATGGCCACTGTCATCTTGCAAAAATGACGTCATTCTGAGACCGATTTTGCACAGTAGTGATTCATTTGGAGCCCGTGTTTGCACAGTACTGATCGTGAGGTGGAGCTGTGGTATCAATGTTCCTCGCAAATTCCCGTAGACCCAATGGCAAGCTCACACTCCCGTTTTTAACGAACCATCAAATAACGAACTAAAAGCAAGCTAAATAGAAAAATGAACACTTGAACATACGTCGGTATGATTAAAAACTACCTGAAATGATGGAAACCATCTTGGGGGAAAAGTTTATTTTAGGTGTAATTCGATTTTTATTTTTTTAGTTTGGCTTAAGTCCCATTCGTTTACATCGAGTGGGCGGGGTTTATGACCTCTACTGCAGCCAGCCGCCAGATGGCGATCGAAATGTTTTGGCTTCACTTTTCAGGACGTGTGTGGCACACTTGGTGTCAAATAGGTGATACTGTCATTATTTCACTTTCATTGAGGACAAAAATTGGTTTATAGCACCTGGTTGGGACACAATCTTCAATCTTCTTGCAACACACCATTATCAGTGCTGGTACGGTATCTAAGGATATTGTTTCGGTCTACAGAATGGAGCACTTAATGCCAAACAACTAAATGCCACAAATTCTGTTGGGCTTACAGATTTTTTTTTTTATATCCACCTCCGCATTTCTGATTGTTTTTTGTGTATTTCTGCATATTTGCTTACTAATCAAATTTTGGTGATCCATGTGAATTGTAGCCTCAGGCCACATACAATGAATTGATTTAGACATTATATTCTCCGCAAGCATAAAATGTGCGTATTTTTTTTCATTGAGATCTGCTTTTAAACTGAATACCAAGTATTCCTAAACTTGATTGCTATGTAAAATGGCTCTAGCTTATTGTATTGCAATGTATGTTGTTTCTCAAATCCTCTGCATCTATTCTGTAACTGGAACTATTTTTATCCCATGTGTTACACGATCATAACAGTTTCTATTATAATCTTTCCCATCAGCGAAACACCAAAAGCAACCAAAAATTAAACAATGTCAAACGCTGTACATTATATTATATATCTTTATTAATACAATGATTTTCAAGCGCTTGAACAGACAGATCTTGAGCAGATAAATTAATGTCGATCCAAAAAAAAACCCACGGCATTCGTTCACCAGGCAAATGGACCTCCTGAGGAGACACAGGAGTTTTGAGGAGATCAAGAGGAGAGCTTTCCAAAAGAAAAAGTGGCAACAACCCAAATGCATCAAATGAAAAGAACATCAAAATTATAATAATTAAACTCATTGCAGTAATAATATAGTAAAATGGAAAAGAACAATAGTAATAATAGTTATAATCATATAATAGGCCCAATTACAAAATAAGTGAGGTTGCAAACTTCATTTCAAACAAACAAAAATAAACTTCCTTTGGTCAAGTAAAAAAAGAGAACAGCGAAGACGGAACACGAGAGCACTGCCCATGCCAGTATCCCAAGTCCATGATGTTGTTTTTTCTTTTTAAATATAGTAACTATACAGTTGAGGCTCTAAGGCTGTGGAGGCGGTGCAGAAGGCAATCTGGTTATAGTGTCACTTCATGCTGCAGCATGCTGTGAATGGGCGTCTGCTCTCAGACGGCGGGTGAGGGGGCGTCGGGGTCAGGCTCGTTGCTGCAGTGGTGGCCGGGGGGAGGGTGGTTGGGAAGAATGTCCAGTTCATCCACTTGTGGTCCGGGATTCATCACCACAAGCTGGTCCTGGGGAATGTCTGCCGCAGCTGCTGCCAGGTTCGTGATGGACTTGCTCTTCACGCACTGGAAGTCCACGTGTCGACTCTTGCCTTCCTCCTTCTCCCAGGACATGCGGATGAAGGGTCTTTGGACGTAGTTGTAGATGACTTCAGGCCTACCGCCGGGGCGCTTTTTCACTTTCTCTTTGTATGTTGGATAACCTACAGATGCAGATTTGATACTCAAAAAGTTGTGATCTTCTGATGTGGGTCATGACCATCATGGAAGAGTTCATTCAAATTAAAAATCTGTCATTATATTTACCCTCATGCTAAATCTTGCCCTTCTTTGTAGCTTTCAAATCAAATATGGCAGCTTTCGACTAGAGGAAGACTGGTATATCAGCCAATATTTGGCCATTATGTCTAGACCCAGTTCTAATGACTCTGCTTTGTCAATGAGTATCAGACACTGTTTTCACATTTGTAGTGAATTTTGAATAAATGTTGTGTAAAATTATTTCACATTTAATTTAAGCAAATTTATGTGCATCTCATTGGCTTTCATTACATTTCGGCCATCAGGCATCCTGCTTTGTAGATATCAATATCGCATCAGATTTGAAGACAATAACAAACATCTTTGGTTCTCAGATTTGTCGCGAGCAAATGTCAAGCCTAATATCTGCTGTCATATTTGATTAATTGCTACTTCAGAGAATTACAAGTTTTGGGTGAACTATGCCTTTGAATTATTAAAATGAGATTGCATATTTGAATAAATACATATAATGTTGTAAAAACAGCATGCAAAACAAAGGATTCTTACCTTCGATACCCAGTCTAATTTTCTTAAGTCCTCGCTCTTTTAAAACAGATTTGGCTACATCACGGTTTTCAATGTACTTGAAGAAACGATAAAGTTTTGTACTGTATATAACTAAAAAGGGGAAAAATATATTTGTTTTAATATATTTGCTTTAGCCACAGACAAAAACACTAGTGATGCACTGAAATTTCAGCAACCAAAAGTATTCCGCTGAAATGGCATGTTAGACAACAACAGGTAAAAATGTCAGCTGTGTGAACACTAGAAATACAGTAGGTTGACAATATCAATTTCTATCAATCTTTATTTTGATGAACCAATATGGATTCTTAAATCCCAAGATCCATAATTTAGTCCATGCTTTTTTAATCAATTCATTGATTTTTTTGTTTGTCTTTTTTTCAGTTTGGGTAAAATATTTTGGGTGTGCATCACTTACAAACACTTCTCAAATATTTTTAAGATGTTACAGAAAGGTGTGTGTGATTACTTTGTGAATACTCCTCTCCCATCTGAGGTGGGTACTCCTCATCCCAGTCCACCACATCATCGTCTGTGAGCACTACGATGTGACACTCCCTCTCTCCGCTCTGAGCGCTTGCCACCATCAGAGGAAGTACCATCTCCTCCAGATAGAACTCAAACTGCCGCCGAGCGCCGTCATTGGACAGTTCATGCATCAGGGCACCTGAAGAGACAAACCGGGTCAATAAACAAAAACCTGAGGAAAACCAAAGCAGGCAAATCTGGCATTTTGTGAAATATGAGGCAGAAAACAATGTTAAAATCCTACAGTTGTCAGATCACAGTACTGACATGGATACTGACAGAAGATTAAAGGAATAGTTCATCCAAAAATGAGAAATAGTCCTCTATCCTCTAATATGCCTTAATGATGGTCTTGTTTCTCACAAACACAAAGCTTCACACTTCACAAGACATTAATTGATGGACTGGAGCGGTGTGGATTACTTGTGGATTATTGTGATGCTTTTATCAGCTGTTTGGACTCTGACGGCACCCATTCACTGCAGAGGATCCATCTGTGAGGCAGTGATGCAAAGCTAAATTTCTCCAAATCGGTTTCAATGAAGAAAAAAACTCATCTTCATCTTGGATGAGTAAATTGTCATCAAATTTTTATTTTCGGGTGAACAATTCCATTAATGTGAATCTCGTGTATCAGGAAGGCCATTTCAGGAATTACTCACTCAGGTCTCGGCACTTGATAGTACTGTAGTCAAAAGAGATGCACAGATAGTCGCACGCTTCCCTCAGCTCAGGAATGGAGATTCCATCAGGACAGCGGATTATCCCAGATTTATAGTAATCCTGCCAGTTAGAGACAGAACAGACAACACAAAAGATGCCATTACAGAAGCTACACCACTTAAAAACTCACATGGATGTAGGCCAGATTCATGTGCACTGCTGCTCACTATCAGCTAACTGGAGAAGTGCTAATGATTTTATTCAAAACATTTTAGACTTAACACCACAATTGAATTAAATTACAATTAAATGATCAATAATCACTCACTTAAGGTTCAATTTTAAAGCCTCTAATAATTTAATAACAGTTCAATACAACTTTTAGCAAATATCATAATGAATATCCAATTTTCATACTAATTTTCACTGTACATTATTATGCTGTGATGCCTAAGTTCACTTGCAGCATTTAAAATTAGTTTTTGTTTTCAGATGTTTTATTTGTTTTTTTTATTTAGCCCCCTCAAAAATAAAGCATAAAACTTCAATAGCAGCCATTTATCAGTTACTGTCCCATTACATGAAAATAATTTTCAGCTTATCAGCATCAGACAGAATTTTAACGCCAGAAATGTATGCAGTAGTCCATGACACGTCAGAGCCAAATAGCTCACAAAGGTGATGCAGATTCAAATCCCATTCCTCATCCCCTCTTCCACAAAAACTAATTATTGTATTGCATTCAAATTGATCCTGCAAATAGCATGCTTCTCTGTTCAAGCTCTCACACTCAACACATCCTCTCTCTGGATTACTAGTCAGTGCCATTGTTTGAATGCACTCATCTGATTTTATCGATTGTCTACAGCAGCATAATAAACACTGTCCTGAGACACATAACAGACACTGCAGCGAAAGATCATTACAGCAGGATATACAGCAAAGCTGATGACAGGCTTAAGCTGCGCTTAACATCATTATTTAAAAGCTGTTGCTGGAAGCTCATTATGAGATGTTCTCAAGCCGAAGCAGCCCACAGTGAAAGCTTGTGACTAAACCACAGACCTGTCTTAAACACTAATATACCCCTGCAAATCAACTATTAGACTTTATCAGTGCACTGTCTCCAAATTAACAAGTTTAAAATGTTGCCATTTGTTGTCAAACACATGAGTCCATTTGGGATATCCTTGAAAAAAAGTTACTGTTTCTGAAATCAAAGCTAAGGATTTGTGATAGACTGGAGCTTCTTAAGTGGGTCGCACATGGGACAAGAAGCACCACGGGTAGAACAAGGCACGGGTATCGTATCTAAAATGAATAATTCTGTATATGCATTTTGTCTGCCGAGCCTGAGTGTCTGAGTCTGGTGTGTGACTCGCTTTAAAGGGGCCATGAACTAAGAAATCAAAATTCCTTTGATTTTTTGACATATAAGAGGTCATTGTACTATAACTAAACATCCTGTTAGTTTCAGAACTCAAAACTTTCTCATTAGTCTAAAAACAGCTTATATTGAAGCCAATCTGCCAAAACGACAGGTTGTGGAATGTGCCACTTCATTACGTAATAGTGTGGCTAAA